AGTTTCAAGAGTTAACACATTGCATACATTCTTCCTAGTGGTTAATTGCTGTACAAGATGCAGACTTGATATCCTATTTACAAACACCATTAGAACAAATCCCTCTATTCATTAAGAGAATTTAACTATCTATCTATTCTAACCACTTTGAATATACAGATACCAAATAGACATTCATCTGTATCCCCTTTTTTGGTTAAGTTCCATCATTTAAATATTATAGGTGTGTAAACTCAGCAAAATATTTCTCAAAGAGTTCAGTAGTCCGTAATAGTATTGGGTCTTCTACTTCACTGGCAATGTCAGAAATTGTTGCCCAGGGAGATAGTTCAGTAGAATAAGCGCTTGCTTGGCAAGCACAGAGTCCTGCATTCAATCCCCAGTACCAGAAAAAAAAGAGTTAGAAATTGTTGACCCGAGTCCCCTACAGCTCAACATAACACCATCGCTTTACTACTTATACTTCGTTTTTATACTTTTCTGCTGGATGGTTAAGACCAAGGTAAAGCAGGGCCTATGCAACAAGAGTTGAAGCTTTTGGGTCTGATAAGGTCAGTGAAATCCCCTCAGGATTTATCTTGAGATCCTGTACCTCAGATTGTAGAACTTTGTCAGTGTCAGCCATATGGATGAGTCACGGCCATTGCTTGGCCAATGTGCTCTCCGTGAGAGCCTGAGAGAATGTTTTCTCTCCATGTGACTCTCCTTAGGTACACTCTACTTTCCTCTGTGGTCCCATAATCTCCTTGATCAGAAAATTTGGGACACTACTGCGTTACATGATGTTACAGTACAAGTTCTCATATGTTCTGAGTCTTAATTGACCTTGGAAGGCTAGGGCCAAAATGTTGACTTTCCTTGTGGCCCTCCTTTTTCTTTAAATAAACATTCAATATGTTTCATTCCACATTACTTAGTCATGAAAATTTTCTGAGTCTCAATTTCTAACCTCATAATAAAAGATAAGTGCAATGGTACCTCAGTTCACAAATGCTTTTGTTTACCATTTGGCTCACCAACAGTTTTGTTTTTGCTTGCAAACTCTGCATCAAGAGACAAACACAATCATGGCCATCTTTTCCACATGAACACAAACATGGCCATCATTTCCAGAATCATGGAATAACATCATGTTCATAAACTGAGGTGCCACTGCCCATCTACTGTGATGTCTTTACAAGGTATGATCTTTACAAAATTTGGTGAATGCAGCTGCCAGGTACCATCCAATGGAAAACAGTATAGTGTGTCCTCATTCACCATACTCACCAGGCCTGGTATGGCAAACTTTCCCAAAGTGAAAACAACTATAAAAAAATAAATAAACATTTGAGTCAATTCAGGAACCAATGCAATCACAACAGCACAACTGAAGATGCACATGAAATAAGATGTACAAATCTAGGTGTGGTGGTGCAGGCCTATAATTCCAGCCCTCAGGAGACTGAGGCAGGAGGAACTCCATGAGTTCTAACCCAGCCTGGGCTAGATAAATAAGTTCAAGGCCAGCCTGTACCACACAGTGAGACCCTGTCTCCAAAAGCAAACAAACAAACAAAATTGCCAGAAAAATTTCCAGAGCTACTTCTGAAAGTAACAAGAACACTGGGAGTAGTACATTCAAAGTGAGGAGAAATACTCTGAGAAGGATTAATGTGTGTGTGTGTGTGTGTGTGTGTGTGTGTGTGTGTGTGTGTGGCTATGTCTATAAATTCCTCCTTGTAAAAAGGACTGAAGTGATCATTTCTCCTCTTTTCCTATCCCCCTTTCTTCATAAGTAATGAGAAAACTCAAACTCTTTGTAAGTACTGCCTGTCCTAACCAGCTGGTATATATTATCTCCTTTAATTATCACAGAAATCATATGAAGTAGTTTCTGCTACTCTCATTTTCAGAGGGAGAAATGCAAGCAAAGTATTGCCATGACTTTGTCAGGATGGATCCTGTGGGTCGGTACAAGAGAGAGCAAGGATCCCGGACCTACCCATTCAACTCTGAAGACTCTGTGAAAACAATAACAGCTGCCACTTGAGGAGCATTTGCCATGTGCTAAGCATTAGCAAGTGTCTCCCAAACATTATTTCAAATAGATCATAAACCCATGCACTGCTGGATCTTAGATGAAGAAGGAAGCCATTGATGAATTCTTGGATGTTGACCACAGCAAAAATGAAACTGTAAAGGCATTGTGTAGTAGACTCAATCCTAGAGACAAAGATTTTTCTCCTAGCGCTGACTGATAAGGTAGACCAAGCAAGGGCCAGCCAAATAGCTCAGCGGATTATAGCACATGCAAGCAGGCACAGGGGCCGGGGGTTTGATCCGCAGGCCTGCTGTGCTGGCCCCGCCCCCGGGGTGCACTTAGATGACAATTGAGACTGGGCATGGTGGTGCACACCTGTAATCTCAGATCTTAGAAGGCTGTAAACAGGCAAATCACTATGAGTCCGATCTAGTAGTGAGACCCTGAACACCCTATAGACTCTCCCCTAAAATACAGAAAAAAAAAAATTCAGACTTCATGTTTTAGCTCACATGCTTAAGGGCCATTCTGAGTTTTCTGCTTGTGTGTGCATCAATACAATACTTATGTCAATGAAAAAAACAGGGCTCAAGTCAGTGCTTTATGTCACCTCGTGACTTTGGACAGGTTATAGAGTCTCTCAGAATCAGTTTCTTCATATATAAATCATCAGCTACTATATTTATCACTGCAGAAGCCAAAAGGCTCTGATCCTTCCCTTTTTCTTCTTTTCTCGTTCCCTATCAAAACATGAACAGATCTTCCTGACAGTTTCTCCGAACCCAGCTGTTCTCCATTTGCTTACTGCATCTATCTGCAGAGCCAGCACTTTTGCCTGAGCACCGCCCCCCCCGTCCCTTGCTGACCCCATCACATTAGCCACCCAAGCAGTATCCCCACATCCATCCTCACTCCTCTTCAACCCAGTACTCTCTAAAATGGATGTCTATTACTCATCCTAATTTTTTATTTTCCTCTATTATTTTAGCTAAAAATTCAACAACCGGGGGCCGGGGAGATGGCTCAGTAGAATAAGTGCTTACCTGGCAAGCACAAGGGCCTGAGTTCAATCCCTGGTTCTGCCAATAAATTAATTAATTAATTAATTAAAATAAAAATTAAACAACCAAGGAAATTCATTTCTTGTCTCTTTTCTCTTAAATCCTGTCAAAACCGCCTGTTGCATTTAGGGTAGAATCTAATCTTGTTATTGTGGCTATAAAGGTCCTTCTTGGCATGTCTTCTGCCTATGTTTTGTTTGTTTTATTCATTCATTCATTTTGAGAGAAAATCTCACTAAGTTGCCCAGGATGGTCTTGAACCTGAGATCCTCCTGTCTCAACCTCCCAGAGAGCTACAATACAGGCATGGAAACCTATGCCCTGTGCATTTACTACTTTTCCTAATCCTATACAGCCCTCCAGTACATTCATCCACTTCATAGACACTTAATACGCATCTTGTAGCCTGAATTTGGCTGTGGACATGCCCTACAGGATTACTGCTCCCAAAAACTGTGCATTCCTATGACAGAGAGGAAAACAGACAATAATCAAGAAGCTTGAATTCTCTTCATCACATTTCTCACTCAGTCATCTGCATACCAGTCTCCCATCTGTTCTTTGAAAACATCAGCCTCAAGCATTCGTACTTTGTGTGGCTTCTATCTGCAGGTCATGGCTCAAAGCCGGCCTCTTCTCCTCTCTCGGATCTCACCATGTCACCCTTCCCTATCAGCACAGTCACACCATCCTACCACCCTTTTCCATTTTCTTCTATCTGCTTAAGACTTTCTGATTGTTGTCTTTCGCCTCTCTACAATGGGAATACAAAGACCTTGGGAGCAGTAATCTCAGTCAAATGTGTTCAAAGCCATATCCATGTCTGGAACATGCCCATTAGGTGTCTGCTAAGTAAATGATTTAGCAGTAGGTTTGTTATAGGATTAAGGAGGGTAACAACTTATAAAGGGCCCAGGTTGCACACCTGTAATCCCAGCCCTCAGGGAGGTTGAGGCAAAAGGACAAATTCAAGCCCAGCCTGTGCAATTTAGAAACTTAGCAAGACCCTGTTTCAAAAGAAAGAAATAAACAAACAGGTCCAGGTAAGTAGCTCATTGCAAAGGCCCTAGGTTCCATCTCCAGTACCCACATTCAAAAAAAAAAAAAAAAATACACAGGAGATTCCACTAGCTAGAGTCACCCAGAGAAGTAGGTTGATTAAAAGCCTCAGCCAGTTTGTAATGTCTCTATCTCCACACATGGTTTCCAGGGACATCAAATCAGAAGAAAAGAAACTAGAATATTTAATATTTTTCTTTAAAAGCCCTGTGCCATCCACCTAGAGTTCATCGCCCAGGACTGACATTCAGTGACCTGGGCGACTACAGGAGCATCTGTGCATGAAGGAAGAACAAGTGTGGAATCTGCGGAGAGTTCTTGATAAGTTTGTTTTGTTTTTGTTTTTTGGTGGAACCAGGGACTGAACTAGACCCTTGCGCTTGCCAGGGAAGCACTTATTCTACTGAGCCATCTCCCCGGCCCCTGTGGAAAGTTCTGTTCTCTCTACTGTCCCGTTGGTTACAGATAAGGGAACTGAGGCACCAAAGGCTGGGAAACCCACTCATTGTCTCAGAGCTGGGCAACTGATAAAAGCTAGGGTCAAACCCAGGCTTCCACGCCCCAGGGACTGTCCCCTTTACCATATGCTGGTGCGATAGTTCTGCTGGAGACACTCACTGGGTTGCAAAATGTTTGTTCTAAGCTCATTCTCTTGCTTGCATTCTCTTCTCAGCAGTGACTACCTTTCTGCTTCAGTGACTTTGACTTGTACTTTGATTCTTCGGGAGTTTAATGTGCAGTTTACTGTGGCCATTCACCTTTCCCTCCCTTCTCACCTACTCTTCTCCCTAAAAGTACAGCCCAGATGAAAACTTCACCCCAAATGAATCAGCCAGGCAGCACAAAACCCATTTATAAGCCTGGCTTACTCCTCAATCCTGCCTCCAGCAATCTTTGTGGTGACTTTAAGCAGCAGTAGTTTTCTCCTAGGTTCAAAGGGTAAGAATGCTGGGAAAGCTGGGCCAGGATCCTAGAGGTTCTCCTTTTTCTAGCAATCTCTGCAACACACTCTTGCAGAAAAGTATGGTATGGGCCACTGTCTGTGATAACCTAGGTTAACAACACATAATCAATAGTAAGCCCAGCTCCAACTCTATGGGGCCAGGCACTAGACAAACTGTGTAACCTATAGTCCCCTCCATGGAGAGTGAATGAACGTCTTCACTAGCTGTTGTTCTTTGATGACCCGAGTCACCCTATTTTAGTGGAGGTGATTTCATGTAAATAGTTTTCTGATTATCACTGGAGGCCCTGTGTTGCTTTCTGACCTGTTTTACTAGCATCTCCTCCCCCTGCTGAATCATCCAATTCCCGACGCATGCTCTGTGCTCAAGGTCCAGCCAGGAGCCTCACTCTGCGGCACACACACACAGTCCTGGAAGGACCTGAGCAAGAGAGCAGGACTACAAAGCCAACCCAGACGTGCAACACTGCATCTTGGACATCACCAGGTAAGAGAGGAGCGAACGGCAGCTTCTCTTGCAAGAGAGGCACATGCACATACCACAGAAGCCCTAAACTTGAAAGTCCAACATGAAGTTGTCAACTTCTGACAATCCTCCTTCCATGGTGACTATGGAGAAGTCACTTAGCATCTCTGACACCTTCACCGCAAAGTGTGAATGGTGATGATAAGAGGAGCACTGGGGAGTGTGCACGTGCTGTGGGCCTGCCAGGCTAATAGAGGTGACTGACTGACGGGGAGGCGGCTCCAGGTGGGAAGAGTGTAGACGCAGGAGGGAAATGATTGATAGGCAACTCCGCTATGCAGAGGTTAGCTCAGTTTCTGTAAAGGGAATGCCTTTCATAAATTTTTTTTAAATAATCTAATCAAAAGAAGCTGGCATCACAACTGCAGGTGATGGAAGGGTGCTTCAGGGTGTACCGATCACTCACTGTGTAGCAGGTTGTATGCTGGCGATGTGATTTATGCAGATTATCTTGCTAATCCTTTTAAGAAGTTGGAAAGTAGGTTATTAACGTACCTTCAAGACTAAATTCATGTTGGATAATTGTATTGTCAATTTTCTGCTGCAGCTAATGCTTGATTTTTTTCTCTGATCTTTTTTCTTCCTCTTTTGAATTTCTTATAATGTCTTTGTTATTGTTTTGTTTTGATTTTTTCTTTAAATGAATCTTACATGTTTTTATATGGTAATTTGAAAAACCAATTTGAGGATAGCATCCTGTAACCCAGTAACCATTGTAGAATTCCTATTACTTTGTTTAGTGAAACCTTGTATCATTTCTAATGCTGGTTTTTTTTTTTTCCTATCACTATTTTGTATTCTTTAAAAATAAAAAAGTGCTGGTGAGATGGCTCAGTGGTCTAAAGCACCTACTTAGAACAAGCTTGGCAAAGCACAGGGACCACGGTTTGATCCCCCAGCACCATGTGCCAGCCAGCCCCGCCCCCTGGTGGGCTGAGCTGGCCACACACACACACACACACACACACACACACACAAAATAAATAAATAAATAAATAAATAAATAAATAAATAAATAAATAAAATGTTTTTAAAAAATAAATAAAAATAAAAAAAGACTAAATACATGGACAGTGTCCCAAATCATGAAACCAGACTTAAAGTCTCTCTCTATCCCCTATGTCCCACTAAGTACCTTGCCTCATTAAATAACATTTTGAGTCCAAAAGCTTGCGATATCAGTTGATTGTAGAGTTCAAGATACTTGTACCCGAGCACATAACCCTGGGCCAAGCCACCTCCCAAAGTCAAACTGCCAGGTGGATTTCTGAAAGCACTTTAAAGCACTTCAAAAGATCGCACTTTAAAACTACATCATAGGGCACCATTGGGCCATACATCCCAAGGGAGTATGGGATGTATACTTTCAATCTGATTGATTTCTGGTAGTGTTAAACTCATACATAACACATTGTAATAAACCTCTTGGAAGGGAGCAATGTTTTTCTATAGTTGGGATATTGTGTGGGCACACTGACTTTTCTCTACCTTTTTACTGAATTATGACAAAGAGAAGACTATCAATGTAGTGAGTGCTTAATATATATTAAACACTGTGGGGAATAAATAGATATAGACTTAGTGTAAATGTAGTTGTTGATACATAGAAACCAATAGTATTATAGTATATAGTGAGATATAGATGTTCTGTGATATACAAGTAGAATTATACACATTGATATAATTATAGATATAGCTATAAAGATAAGTATAGAGATACACATATGCTGTGTGATCAAAAATATGGTGAATGTTCACTTAAAAAAATTCTTACTATAAAAAATACAATACCAGTAGCCCCTTTAAAATTCTTCCCCAACACCTTGAACACACTTATCCTATCATTCTTGCTACTTTCTGCTATAGAAGCCCATGAGTGTCTTTAGTTGTGCTGTTAATGGCTCTCTTTTTGTTCCTAATGGACTCAAAATATTTACTTTTCACGGTCAGTTTGATTTTGGGGAACAGCCAGAAGTTATACAGTGCCAGATCCAGTTAATAAGGTGGATGAGGAGATGCCGCAATGTTTTTATGAGTTTGCCTTTCAGTGGGACAGCACTCAGCAGTTACATTCACTACAATTTGTATCATATCTTGTAGAGACACTGAAGAAAGAGAACTTGCAGAAATACTTCTGAAATTGCCCAGAAAAAAAATGGGCTAAATGCATTTGAATTGAAGGAGAGTATATTGAGAGGGATTAATGTCCCCAGCTCCTTCCTGCTGCAGCCCTTGGAAGTGAAGCTGTTGTGCCCCTCTGGGAAGATGTTCTGCTCCTAGATTAGCTGGGTGGTTTTGGCCCTTAGTCTCTCTGCAGGGACTTCAACTGCAGAGTTTCACCCCAGGCCTGTATGCCAGGCCTGGGCTGGGTCTGGAGTGGCCCAGGGGGTGCACCGGGGAGCACGGAAGCTCTCCCACACACTTGCAGGGCCTGGGCTTGAACTGGGTCTGGCGGGTACGGAGAGCACAGCGAGAGGTCTCACTCATGCAGCGGGCCTGGACTGGGTCCGGAGAGGTCCAGCAGATGCAGCGGAGCACGGAAGCTCTCCCGCATACTCGCCAGGCCTGGGCTTGGGCTGGGTGCGATTAATGTCAATATGTCTTTTACAGTAAAAGGGTTTTTTTGTTTTAATTTCAGCAGTCACTGTATAGATTGATCACCCCTGGCATAGGTATCTCTGACTTTTAGTCTTCTGAACCTTGTGAGATCAGGTTTCTTTGTAACTGCAGGTGAGTGTAAATCTGGACTCTGCAGTGTCTGTTTTAGAGTCTATCCCCACTTTCTCTCTTAGATCCTATGCTTGAAGTTAAGGAGCTGTTTCTTTCCAACCTTAATTACATGGGGAAAGCTTTACAGAGAGTGTAACAATTAATTACTCATTTTTCCAGGGTAACTATGTCGCACTGGTGCTAAATGTGACTTGCAGTATGCCGCTCTCACAGCACCGCAGCCTCAGGTGTTGCCAATTTTCCAGTGTTTTTTATTAAGTGAATTGTCCAAAATGATAAGCTGCTGAGGGGCTGGACTCTGCACCTGTGCTGTTTGGCCCCTGAGGCCCCACTCTCCCCACCACAGCCTCTCAAATGATGAAGATTAATTAGAATTGCAAACACAACTGTAAGATGACCCCAAAAGCAAGTCTTCCTTATTTTCTCAACTATCAAATATCAAGAACTATTTGTATTAGTTCACTAGAACAACCATGGCAAATTACCACAGACTGAGTGACTTAGCAAAAATGTATTTTCTCAAGAGTTCTGAAGGCAGGAGGTCCAAGATCAAGGTAAAAATTTAGAATGCTTTCTTGTCGACTTGCAGATAGCTGTCTCTGTGTTCCCGTGGCAGGATTCCTCTTTATACGTCTGTGTTCTGCATCTCTTAGAAGGGGACCAGCCAGATCTCTAGAATTCTCATTTTTAACATAATTACTTTCTGTAAACACCGTCACATTCTGGTTTTTAGGGGATTAGGACCCCAACAGATTCACTGTAGGAGATATAATCTAGCCCATCATACAGTCAATAAACTTCATCATTGTATCTCTCTCTCTCTGTCTCTCTCTCTCTCTCTCTCTCTCTCTCTCTCTCTCTCTCTCTTTCTCTCTTTCTCTCTTTCTCTCTTTCTCTTGTTTTGGTCCTTAGCCACTTTTAAGGGCTGTTTTCATGGCCTTTGGGGAAAAGTAAGTCAACAGCAATTGAGTCCAGAGTTATTCTAGGTCAGCTTACACCTGTGGAGGGAGGCACGTGTTGGCAGAACTAGTAGATGGGGTAGTCTTAGGACCTTGGGGAAAACCTGTCCCTCCTGAGGTGCCTGCCTACAGCAGGAATTTTAAGTTCTTATGTCAATAGTGGCTGGATAGCAATCCTAAGTGGAAAAGCAAGCAGGTGTGAGAAAATAGGGAGTGGTGGGAACCATGTGAACTTGGAGAAAATGACATGTAAATGAAACAGAAAATTCTCAGCTCCAGTCAGTGTCGGTACAAAAGAGCTGGGTCAGGTCCTTGCCTGTCTGCCTCAACCCCCTTCCCAACAACAGTAGAGGGCCTTTATTTCTACCTTTGCAATGTTACAAGACACAAGCTTGCCTAGTGACTAAGAGTCCACAAAGTCCAGGCAGGATGTTTTTCCCAAGACTGAGGTAGCTTGACTGCTTTAAGGCCTCAAGCAGGCCTCACCCTGCCCACCGCATAGGATCAATTTCCAACTTGAGCAGACCCAACATACTGTTAAAAAGTAGCATATTATTGCTGAAACTGAAGTGGGTTCTTAATTGTTCACGGTAATAGAGTACTGTAATCTCAAATCCATTTGCCAAGGGGCTCTCTTCTGCCAACATTTTCATGGATAGATCAAAGCATCAACTTGTACCCATATGTGCAGAAAATTATTACTTGTCAATTAAAAATAAGTTTTAAAGTGACAATTAACAAGCAGTGCTATGTGAAGAGCCTGTGCCCAGGGGATTATGCCCTGCAATACACTCATTTCTACAATAAAATTAGAATGTTATAGATCTGAAGAAGCCAATAATCTAGATATTACCATTAGTTAGGACCACTCACTGAATCCAGGCTGTAAAATCTAAAGCTAACTTCAAAATACCTAATTTTTCAAATACAGGTTTTTCTAATAGTTTAAAGCAAGGGAAACAACAAAAACATTTTTATGGAAGGTAGATACATTGTAGTTTAAGACAATTTCACAATCAAAATTCAAGGAAGACCCTAATAAATGAAAGTTCTCCTCCCCCATCAGAAACACTTTTCAGGCTCTGGAAGGGCAAAGAGGTTATATTCTAAGCTTTTCTGATGCATTGAGAATCTCTGCCTAGCGAATATCTTGGATTACATCGTAGTCCAGTAAGGAAGGTGCTAGCATACTGGTAGTGTCTGCCCTCAGGTTGATGGTGTATGAGAATCAATTCATAGAGTCCAAGTGGCAAAAAGCCAAACTCAGGCAAAGAAGAAATTGTTGGTTCTCAGAGTCCAGGAAAGAAAGTTAATAGAAGAGGAGCAGAGAGTCTGAGGGATCTCAGATCCACCATAAAGCAGTGACTCAAGTGTCTGCAGGGTTGTGGCTACCTTTCTTCTCGATATCCTGTACACCAGCTCCATTCTTTCCCCCACAATAGGAATCATAGTCACAGACAGTTCCCCCACAGTGTGCATTGTATGGTTTCCCCTACAGAGAAACAGACTTACCTACACGTTGGCACCAATTACACACCGGAGCAATTTGAAGGATTTCAGTGGCCAGGCTTAGGTTAAAAAATCATGGAACTGCTCAACACTGAGCCTATCTGCTTGAGCCAGAGAATGGAACATCAGCTTCTTGGAGAACCACAAGACTGGGTTCAGTGGGAAGAGAGGTCTCCAGAGTAAGAATCTGCAAAATGGTCGATTGCTACTGCAAGAGACATCATCATGCGGCTGCTGTCCTGGGCTTAAGTCTGAAAAGACCCCAGGAATGGATCCCGCTGCATGTAGCAGTGAAAACTCCTTCCTGGCATGTTGTGCCTTGTGGTTGATTCCTCAGATAAGAAACTAAGTGTGATTTAAATGATGTCTGATAAATTGAAACCAAGCAATAACATTGGCAAGGATCCGGGAACATGTGTCACTATTTGGAAAAACTTCCTGCTGCACCAACAAATTATAAAACGTTTCTCTCCTGGGCAGGTAGGGACCTGAGAAGTCTGTCCACTTGCTGAGCATTCTTCCACTATGCAGTGTCTGATGAAGTTCCGGGTCCTCTGGAGCATCCACAAATTCTTCCACACCTTTCGCCCTGCCCCTCCCCAGTTGCGCTGCCAGTCTCTCTCTAGGGTTAGAGCTCCAACGTGGAATGAACACAATGTACCAAAGGAATTTAATTTTGCAAGTGATGTGGTAGACTACTGGGCTCAAATGGAGAAGGTAAGAGCGCAGTGTGGTGGGAGGTGGGGAAAGCGTGGCCTCTGCGGCCTGACCTTGCTCTTGCTGGGCTGAGAGCCCCAGAATCAAGGGCAGCTTCTGCCTCACACAGCAGTGTCATAGGAGAAGGTTATATAACATGTAATTGAAAACTACCATGAATGCGTAATTTTTTTACTTATTACAGTAAAAAACATAATGGCCTAAGTCCACCTCAAAACACTCTGCTTTGCTCTGAAAGCACCTATCCCATCTTTCTTGTCACTTTCTGTTGTTGTCGTTTGATTCTGGAGTTTATTGTTACTGCTGTCATTGTTTTGTGGGGGTCTTTTGTGTTGATTTAGGTTTTAGGGTTGTTTGATTGGTGTTTTGTTTTTGAGACAGAGTGTCACTCAACTCACTAGAGTGTCACTCAACTCAGCGCACACCAGCCTGGAGCTCAAGGTGATGCCCCTGCCTCAGCCTCCCAAGTGCTGATGGCAGGCATACACCACTACACCTGACTCTGTTCTTGCCACTTTCTGAGGCAGTACTGGAAGTCCTCTTTCATGAGCATCTTTAGATGCACTGGTGTGGCTGCCCCAAAGTCCTGAAGGGATTCAAGGCATTCACCTTTCGGGATCATTTTGACTTTGGGGAGGAGCCAGAAGCTGCATGGTGCTGGATCCAGTGAATAAAGTAGATGAAGACACACTCTCATGGTTTTATTCCACAGAAATGGTAGTGAGACCCTGCACACCCTGTAGATGCTTGCCTAAAATACAGAGAAAAAATTATCCCCAAGATTGTTATTCAAATGTGAGGGAGAAATTAGGATAGTCACAGATTAAAACTACAGGGGTGGGGACCAGGGAGATAACTCAGTGGCTTAAGCATTTGCATGGCAAGTGCAAGGTCCTGAGTTTGATCCCCAGTACCAAAACAAAAAAAGTGTGTGGGACTTCATTGTCACTGGACTTGCCCCATAAGAAATATTAAAGGGAGTACTTAAGCTGAATTAAAAGGATAAAAGTAGCTTAAATATGAGTTTCTCATATTTAAGTTCCTTTGACGAACTTCCAATATGGTTTTCAATAATTTCAAATGACCTGTCCTTACTCCTGAGGATTGCTGTAGTAAGTTCAAGACCAGCCTGAACTACACAGCAAGACTCTGTCCTCACCCCCAAAAAAACTCACTTGTAGGCTAGACAACATAGCATATAGGTGGAAAATAGTTATTGATTCATGCCACCAATTTATAACACTTGGTTGCCCTTGGGAATTAAACCCTGTCATATTATGGTATAAGTTCCTGGGATAATGAGCTCAACTTCAACTGATTCCTGGAACATCCCCCAATTTATTCATAAGCGATCATGTACATATCGGCATTAATTTATTGTGTCTCTTACAAACTTCATTAATTCATCTAAAACCATGAGCATTCATTCTCTGCCAATCATTATTCTAAATGATTATAGAAAAGTCAACAAAACAAACAACTCTCACTTTTTGCCATGTTGTTGTTTCCTTAATGTGTTGTAACTTTTTGCTCCTCATTTCTTCATATGGCCTTCCTTTGTGTTCAGCTGATGTTTTATAATGATGTATTTTGATTTCCTTTTGTGTGTATTCTACAGCTAAACATCCACTTTATGTCACTGATGACACAAGTTATAAATTTTAGTATTGTATACCCACTTATCTAAATTTATGCTTACTTTTATGCTTCTGCTTTTAAATATTATAAAAGAATAGCAAGAGGAATTTCAAGATGAAATTATTATAATACTGCTTTTTATATCGGTACATGTAATTACCTTTATATGAGAAATTTTGGTTCTCATATTTAAGTTACTTTTATGAGCTATCTCCCTGGCCCCCACATCTTTATTTTTAATCTGTAACTATCCTAATTTCTCCCGCACATTTGAATAACAATCTTGGGGATAATTTTTATTTTATTTTATTTTAGGGACGGGTCTACAGGGTGTTCAAGGTCTCACTACTAGATCAGACTCATAGTGATCTGGCTGTCAACAGCCTCCCAAGAGCTGGGATTACAGGTGTGTGCCACCATGCTCAGTCTCAATTGCCCTCTCAGCATGCCCCAGGGGTTGGAGCTGGCACGGGAGGCCCGGGAATTGAACCCCTGGTCCCTATGCCTGCTTGCAGGTGCTTTAATCTGTGAGCTACTTGGCCAGCCCTTGGGGATAAATTTTGGATTGACAGGTTTTTTTGTCCTTTTAGCACTGCCTTTTGGTTTATAAGATCTCTGATGAGAAATTCACTGATAATCTTCTTGAGGGCCTTTTATGACAATGAATTGCTTTTCTTTTGTGATTTCAAGATTCTCTCCTTGTCTTCAGCTTTCACGTTTTTATTCTACTGTGCCTTTGTTCAAGTCTCTTTGCATTAGACTACTTAACGTTGATGAGCCTCTTGTATTTTCGTATCCGTGTCTTTCATTGAGTTTGAGATGTTTGGGGCCATTATTTCACTTTACCACCTTCTTCCAGGGCTCCCTCAACATGTATGTTGGTCTACTTGATAGTACACTGTAAGCCCTTCCACTGTCCATTTTTTTCACTCTTTCTTCATTTTGCTCCTCAGATTCAATAATTTCAAATGATGTGTCTTCATGTTTACTCATACTTTCTTCTATTTGAATAAACTGTAATTTTCAATTTAGTTACTGTATTTTTGGCTCCAGAATTTTATTTTGTTTTTTCTCATATAGTTTTTATCACTTTGTCACTATTAACGTTTTGCTTGTTACAGTTTTCCTGGTTTTCTTTACATCTTTGTGCTTCCCTTTCATTCCTACAGCATGCTTCAGTGCTTTAGAATCTGTAAATGAAGGCTGTGTTTCATCAGGGCCAGTTTCTGGAGATTCATTCTGCTCCCTTGAGAAAACTGTGCTCCCTAGTTCCTTTTCATTCTTGTTTTTTTTTTTTTTTAAAGATGTAACTTTATTTCTAGCTCATTACATACTAAATGTCTCCAGAATTTTTCCATTTTCTTTTATCATTCCATTACTCTCTAGTTTCTCCCTATTAAATTACTGAAGAATTATTTTTGTTTTTTTTTTGTTTTTTTTTTCTTTTCAGAGTTTTATTGATAAACATATAGCAATGAGACAGTTTCAAATCAAATCGAAAGTACAGTTTCAACAAATAATACACTGCATATATTCTTCTTAGTGGTTAATTGCTGCACAAGATGCAGACTTGTGATCCTACTTACAAACACCATTAGAAAAAATCATTCTATTCATTAAGAGAATGCAACTATATATCTATCCCAACCACTTTGAATACACAGATACAAAATGGACATTCATAGTTATACCCCAATTTTTTTTAAGTTCCGTTGTTGAATATTATAGGTGTGTAAACTCAGCAAAATATTCTAAAAGAGTACAGAAGCCCATAATAGCATTGGGTCTTCTGTTTAATTGGCAATGTCAGAAATTATTGACATGAGTCCTCCACAGCTCAACATAACAACATGGCTTTACTTCCTATATTTCATCTTCATACTTTTCTACTGGATGGTTAAGACCAAGGTAAAGCAGAACCTATGCAACAAGAGTTGTAGCTTTTTGGTTTGAGAAGGTCAGTGAAATGCCCTCAGGATTTATCCTGAGATCCTGTACCTCAGATTGTAGAACCTTTGTCAGTGCAGCCATGTGGATGAGTCACGGCCATTGCTTGGCCAATGTGCTCTCTGTGAAAGCCTGAGAGAGTGTCTTCTCCTCATGTGACTCTCCTTAGGCACACTCCACGTCATCGATCGATTTCCTCTTTGGCCCCATAACCTTCTTGATCAGAAAATCTGGGACACTACCGAGGTACATGATGTTACAGTACAAGTTCTCATATGTCCTGAGTCTTAATTGACCTTAGAAGGGTAGGGCCAAAATATTGGCTTTCCTTGTAGCCCTCCTTTTTCTCTAATTTTGGTCTGCAAACTTAGGTTGTTAACCATCCAGAAGACAAGCTTATTGTTATTATCAAACGATTTACGTTATCAAGCTTAACCTCACTATTTCACTACATTTCAAACATCTTAGGCATAATAAGGAACAGGTATTTTTCATCAAGTATTGATATGTTGAACCTTAAGTCCCTACATAATATGATAAAGAACATTTAAAAATTAGATTATATTTTAACAATAGGATAAAGAATTCTATGCTTCTCATGTTTGCACATAAATCCAAAAATCTCACCATATACAACCTTGAAGCAGGACTGTCCCACAGTATTCCTTTTCCTGTCTCTTGCTTTCATTCACCACCCCCTTCTTCTTGAACATCCACCTACCCGAGAGACATCTTAGCAGTAACTGGCATGTCATGACAAGCAGCCCGTGTTCAGAATACCACAATGACAGGCACTCCCAATATGAAACCACTATTACAAATTACCATCTGCAGTGCAGTAGCTTAGTTCACAGATATCAGTATATATAGTTAGTCAGGGTGAGAATCATTCCAATTAACTCCTAGATTAAAGAATCTTCTGAATATTCTCCGGATCATTGCCTTGCTCAACTTTTACATATAACTGCATGGCTTAACGTTGTCATGTTTCCTAGCTCATCACTCCTTTTCATTCTTGTGATATCTCAATGAAAACTGAGCGTTTGAAACAACCATGCATCTCAGTCTTGCTGACCAGGTCTGCACAGAGATAGACTTCACCAGTCTGCCCAGTGAGGAGGGTCAAGGTCATCCCAGGTCTTTTCCCTGGGCTGGTCATGTGTTTCTTCCCAGTCACTGTCCCACTTACATGCCTGCTTTGAAATGCCTTCATTTCCCTAACAGTCTCGTGTTTGCTCATTCTCAGATTCTCAGTCATTACACCATGTCCTCTGCCCATAATGTCTTGTCCAAAGGTGCCCACAGGTCTGTTGTTCTTACCCGCCATGGCACCTGTTATTGCTTTGAGGAACTTCCAGTATGGTTTTCAAACTCTGCTACTCTTCACACCTGACCACCAAATCAGGCAAGACAGAGACCACCTCCCCAGGAAGTCCCTGAACAAAGTAGAAACAAGTTTGCAACAAGTACCACTTTCCCCCTGCCAACCCTAGGAAAGGAATTAGCAATGGGATGGCTTCCCTCTGACTGCCCAAGGAGCAGGTCAGGACAAGATCAAGAAAAACACTGGCACGCTGCCTGTGTTTGCCCAGGACTTTTTCTTGTGGGCATTTATTTAATTACTGCAGATCTTTGGCTAGTTGCTAAACCTCCCACAAATCTATTTTAGTTCCTCTGTTCCTTGTTTAATATTTCCATTAGGAAACAAGGGTCTGGAGCTTCCTACTCTACTATCTTGCTGTCCTAACCTCTACAAGTATCTTATTTTTTAATTACCAAAATATTTGGTCATTAAGTTACCCCCTTTTAGAAGAATCAAGATATATCATGTACAGGTACAAATTCCCCATAATGAAATGTGGTCCTTATATATATCTAAAATATAATCATTAAATGAAATTAATTTTTAAAAGATGTTTTAAAAGTTCACCTCAGCCATGTTCCGGGAACCCCCAGACCCAGTCCTAGCCCAGGTCCGGGACTTAAAGTTCAACATATCAATACTTGATGAAAAATACCTGTTCCATATTATGCCTAAGATGTTTGATATTCAGACAGATAGTGAGGATAAGCTTAACAGCATAAGTTGTATGGTAATAACAATAAGCTTGTCTTCTGGAGGGTTCACAACCTAAGTTTGCAGACCAAAATTAGAGAAAAAGGAGGGCCACAAGGAAAGCCAACATTTTGGCCCTAGCCTTCCAAGATCAATTAAGACTCAGGACATATGAGAACTTGTACTGTAACGTCATGTAACTCGGTAGTGTCCCAAATTTTCTGATCAAGGAGATTATGGGGCCAAAGAGGAAAGTGATCGATGATGTAAAGTATGCCTAAGGAGAGTCACATGGAGAGAAAACATTCTCTCAGGCTTTCACAGAGAGCACAGTGGCCAAGCAATGGCTGTGACTCATCCACATGGCTGACACTGACAAAGGTTCTACAATCTGAGGTACAGGATCTCAGGATAAATCTTGAGGGGATTTCACTGACCTTATCAGACCCAAAAGCTACAACTCTTGTTGCATAGGTCCTGCTTTACCTTGGTCTTAACCATCCAGCAGAAAAGTATAAAAATGAAATATAAGAAGTAAAGCCATGCTGTTATGTTGAGCTATAGGGGACTCAGGTCAACAATTTCTGACATTGCCAGCCAAGCGGAAGACCTAATACTATTATGGGCTACTGGACTCTTTTAGAATATTTTGCTGAGTTTATACACCTATAATATTCAAATAACGGAACTTAACAAAAAAAGGGGATACAGATGAATGTCCATTTTGTATCTGTGTATTCAAAGTGGTTAGGATAGATACATAGTTACATTCTCTTAATGAATAGAGGGATTTGTTCTAATGGTGTTTGTAAATAGGATATCATATCCGCATCTTGTACAGCAATTAACCACTAGGAAGAATGTATGCAATGTGTTAATTATTGAAACTGTCCTATCAATTTGGTTTGAAACTGTCTCATTGCTATTTGTTTCTCAATAAAATTATGGAAAAATAAATAAATAAAAGTTCACCTCTTTTATTTTGCTGTGATAATAATACTACTTAGTGAGCACCTACCTGTGCCACACAGTTATGCCTGTTTTACTCGAGAAGTAATTCATTTAAATTCTACAAGTTTCTTGGCAATAATGTTGTCCTCATCTAACAGATGAGAAAACTGGGATACAAAGAGGAGACATGTCATATGTATGGGGCTAACACAGACATGGATAAATAAAAGCTCAAGACTTCAATAGTAGACATGAAGGCCACTCACTGTCTTATGTGGGTTTTGTAGGCGGTGGCTACAGTAGGTGAGAAGTTCTCTAAGTCCACACAACTTCTCATCTTCCTTTGCCTCTAAAAATATTTAAAATGAGATCTCAGTCCCTAGGTTATGAAATGTGACTATGGCAGTGGGTTGTCCAAAGAAGTCTTTTTTTCTTCTGAAGCAGGAAGTAACACATGGTGTATGACCTTGACCTTCACTAGGAGGGCAAGCGAGGTCCAGAACCAGCTCTGTGGTGGATAAATACCCAAGGAGATGAGGTGAAGTGGAACTTCAGAGAGTTGAGAGACCTAAGCTGTCGCGTGGCCAACATCCTCACGCAGACCTGCGGCCTAAAGAAGGGGGACTATCTGACCTTGATTCTGCCTCGAGTGCCTGAGTGGTGGCTGGTGGCCATCGGCTGCATTCGAACAGGTCAGTGACTTGGGGGCTGTGGTAAACCTCAGGCCAGCTCAGAGCCAGTCTTGGAATGTTAGGTGCTGTCCACCCAGCCTTGCACAATAGCTCAGAGGTTCAAGCTTAATCTCCCAACCTGAGACCACAGCTAGGTTTCTAGAGAGTAACAGCTCTTTTCCTACACTTTCTTCTTCAAGTCTGTGTCTTTCTCACATTGTCTCACAAATACTTTTATCCTTTTTTTCCTCTCTCTCTCCTTCATACTCTTAACATTCATATACTTTCAAGTCATTTGCCATACATTCTCTCTGTCTCTGTCTCTGTCTCTGTCTCTGTCTCTGTCTCTCTCTCTCTCACACAGAGAGAGAGAGAGAGAGAGAGAGAGAGAGAGAAAACACTTTCTCTTTCTCAATCTTATTCTCATTTTTTTATTCTCATTTTTTAAAAAAGATTTAATATCTAACGTTTTTCCATATTTGAGCGCACTCTCTTTCATCTCCCTCTGCCTCCATAGTTTTCTCTCTCACCGAATCTTTTAAGAATAAAATATGGGCACTGTGACAGCTACAAATACCAAATAAATGCCTATAAATACAAACACACGTCTACCAAAATCTGAGGCATTCTCTCTACATAATCACATTCAAAAAGACTGACATTGATATAATATGATTTCCTGATATACATCCTTAGTACCAGTTTCTCTACTGACCCAATAGTATCTTTTAAAGCCAGTTTTTGCTTTAAATCCAATAGAGCATCACATTTTCTATTTAATTGTTGTGTCTCCTCCATTTCCTTACATCTAGAATATTCCCTACTCTTTTCTGCATGGCAGTGACACTTTGGAAGAGTATGGGGCAATGTTTTGCATAATGCATTTCCAATTGTTTAAGTACGAGGCTTCCTAACTGCATTTAGGTTAAAAACATTTGGCAGGATCACAAGCAAGGCAGTGCGTGTTCCTTCCATTGTGTGGCACTGGCCTGGGCATGGGCTGAGGCTGTCCCGCCCTTAGAGATAAGTGTTTCATCACTTCTGTAAGGTCTGTCAATTTCCCCTTATGAGTAACCTGGACGAAATTGTGTGAACCGCCCTCTTTCCCAGCAACCGTGCATACTGATAAGTTTTTATTGCATTGAGCATTTATCGTTTTATGTATTTAGTACAGAGTCTACAGGGTCTCACTACTCAGATCAGACTCATAGTGATCCTCCTGTTTTAAGCCAACCAAGAGCTGGGATTACAGGCGTGCACCACCACATCCAATCTCAAATGCTCTCTCAGTGCACCCCTGGGGTGGGGCCAGCATGGTATGCCAGAGATCGAACCCTGGTCCTTGAAACTGCCTAAGTAGGCCCTGAGCTATCTGGGCCAGCCCGGTTGTATTTACTATTACTATGGTGATTTTATA